GAATGTGTTTAGAGGCAGCTTTAATTAGGCCTTTGTGAATTTGGTTCCAGATTTTGTTGAGTTGGTTTTGGTTAGAGTTGTAGAGAGTTTAATGAGAAGTCGTTGGAGATTTTGTGTTGTTTGAGTAGCATAGTTTTTAAGAGAAGTATTAGGGTAGTTTTTCCAGAGGAAGATTTTTCTTTTTTGTTGTTTGAAAGGTTTTGGTTTGTTAATTATAATGGAAATTTCTAATGTAATGAGATTATGATCAGATTCTAATAAGTGGTTTTGAAGTATATCAGTGTATTCAATGTTTGTAATTGACAGATTGGTCCAGATTTGATCAATTCTACTTTGTATATTAGATCATTGGAAGGTATAATTAGTTTTATTAAGAAAGAATAGTCGGTAGATGTCTTCAAATTGAAAACTAGAAAGGAATTTGATGAGTTGATGTTCTGGTATAGATGATTTTTTTGGTGGAAATCTGTCTATGCGGGGATTGGGAATATTATAAAAGATAATTATAATAATATTAATAATAATGAAAATTTAAATAACAACAAAATTAGTGAATTGGAAAATAAAATAAAAGAATTAAGTAATCAATTAGATGAATTAAAAAGGGAATTTGAAATTAATAGACAAAATGCAGAAAAATATAAAGCTCCATTTGAAATGATAAAAAATTTTTTTAATTTATTTAATGATATTAAAATAGATCAAGATCTTATAAGTTTAAATTAATTTTTATTTTCTTTAATCAATTAATAAAATATATTATTGGATAAATTTAAAATTTATTTATTTTATCAGTACATATGATGATATCATTTATTTTTTCATCAAGTGATTTTTCAGATGAAAATTTAAGTTTTAAGTTTTTTATAATTTGATCAATTTTTGATTCAAGATTAATTAAAGGATTTTTTTGTATTAATTTTTTACTTAATTCATCTAATTTTTGATCTATTGTTTTTTCGTTTTCAAAATTTATTCTGAAATTATTAAAACTGTTTTCTATTTTATTTATCTAGTAAAAAAAAAAATTAATTAATTTGATAAATATTAAAAAAACAATATAAAAATAAAAACATACAAGATTTTGATATTTTATTTCTTGATTTTGAATTTTTGAAGATACAAAATTTTCAGTCTTTTGAAGTTGATGAATAAGATGATTTTCAAATTGTGTAACTGAAAATCCAATTTGAATATTATCATGTGT